CGCCGCAGAGAGGCGAGGAGTAAGCGAACGGCTGTGTGGTGTTCAGCTGCCGGCTGAGTTAAACCACAGCACAAGGGTATATCTTCCTTGCTCCAATCCTACACCCTGGTCTCTGGGACCTTGATTCCTGACTTGCTACATTCAGTACTTCAGCCTTTTTCATGTCCTGTGTAACCAAGTCCCCCATCTCATTCAGCAATGGGCCCACATGTTCCCTTAAACCACAGCACAAGGGTATATCTTCCTTGCTCCAATCCTACACCCTGGTCTCTGGGACCTTGATTCCTGACTTGCTACATTCAGTACTTCAGCCTTTTTCATGTCCTGTGTAACCAAGTCCCACATCTCATTCAGCAATGGGCCCACATGTTCCCTAGTCTTCCTTTTGTCTCCTATGTACTTAAAGAAGCCCTTCTTATTGTCTTTGACATCCCTTGACACATATAGCTGAATTTATCAAATTTCACAGTAGTGTCATCAATGAAACTCCAATTTTGCCTCTTCAGCACATTTTAGAGGTTCCCCTAAAAGGAATTCCCATTGTAAAAATTTGAAACATAGTAAAATACTAAGTAACTAATTCTAGAAAAATAGGAATCAACTTATTTTCCAAATTATGATCATATAAAGGTAGGAAAATAATAAAAAAAACCAAACAAAAACAATACTTTGAAACTTTTTTTTTTCAATTGTCCAAATAAAATGTATGGAAAGGAACACAGTGTTTTGAACACTGGCCTGAAATTTCTACAATATTCAAAGACACATTGTTTCTACATATGTACAACTGCAGCTGGTTTTCTTACGAGTTGCATCTGTGTATTTGAGAGCAGAATTTGGCATATATTTAAAAGAAAAAATTGAATTTTATTAAAAGACAAAGTTTCTAGTATTTAATCTGCAGATCACATTTTGATCACCTGATTTAATTAATTACTCATATGACAGTGCATTGTTACTAGTGTTGGAAGTTCATATGAAACTTAATGGATCACAAGATACTAAGACCTAGGTTGAATATGCAGGGTGTATCTTGTTTGAAATTCCTGTGCTATGGTTTCATCATTATGCTTATTAAGTTCCGAGTTAACCAAAGACTGCAAACCAAAAGGTCAACATTTAAGAAATTCCCAGACAGACAATTATGACATCCTTCAATGATAGTAAAGTAGACATCATATCCATTTTTATATAATTTTAGAACTGCCTACTTGTAGAAGTATGCCTGCACAGCAACAGTCACAGGCTGGTATGCCAGTACAACTAAATTCTGGATTTGGCCTTCTATGGCTACATTGTATTTTTCGCTTGGAGCAGCAGTGAAGTTTTGAAGCAAATCTGACAGTTGCCAGTTGCTACTAAGTAGTTTTGGTGTGTACTAGGTCGCTTTAGCAGGATGCTAATGTGGAAGTCCTCTCCACGTACCTGCATACCAAGCAATCTCCAATGCTTAAGCGGACATAAAGCTCCAAAGAACCTTATACAGCTTTCAGCCAGGGATCAGAGTAAATCTAATCCAACGGAAAACATTCAAATCACATATAGATGTATGAGCCTAAGCACCAAATACATTGCTCTGATTATCTGTTCCTCTTGAGTCCAATTACTTGCTTATGCAAACATTGCCTATACCTCCTGATATTTTGCTGCAAACTTGCATGTTACTGATTTCCCGCATGAAATCCAGACCTGTAGCTGTATTAGTTCACCGCTTGGGACTAAACACTGCAGATGTCATCACTACACTGCAATTGGTCATGAATGTTTCAGACAGTTTCTCATGTACTGTTTTGATTTTCTTTTTCTTGGGAGGTCTGTGCTTGTGCTAAATTCTCACACTTCGACATTTATGACTTTTGTAGATGCAACAAAAAAAAGTTCAGCTGAATTACCTGCACTAAGGGAACTCTGCATGCTGTTAAACTTCATATAAAGGAAAACCACGGGTTCAAACATTTATGCTCTTCTTCAAAGGTTAAAGAAAATACCTATACAAAACTACGATGAACACTCTGAAATTGTCTAACATACCTTTAAAGTTTAAAATTATTAAGTGTAATGCAGATGCTACTATTATCTTCAAGTATTTTTTCATTGTTAACACAGCTAAGGCTACTTTACTGATGAATAAATAAAAATATCTACAACAGTGTCACCGTTTTATTGGTTGTTGTTTGGTTTTTCTCTGCTGTGAAGAATTGTACCTCTGAGGAAAGGCTGAGCACAAGCTTTGTGTACATTACTTATGTGTCATTTGGTGAGGGTTTTCTTGTTTGTGTTTGGTTTTGTTTGGGTTTTTTTAATGTTTTTGTCCTTTTTAATTAGTAACACCTTGTGACTTTCCTGAAACAGAGCCAAATAAACTAAGAGCTTTGGGAAAGCTATCCCTCTGGATATTACTATGAGGCTCCTCATATGAAATCATAGTTTAATTTGTCATTAACACAGCTGACATTCAATTTCCTTACCTCTCCTTCAGATACAATACCAGTTATGACCCAGCTTTATATAAATTCTCAATACTTTATGCTCTTTTACTTTCAGAATTACAGAACAGCTTACAGCCACACCTCCATCCAACTGAAAACACCTCATCCTGTTTCACAAAAAACACACCATATAACATTACAGGAACATACCCTGATTTTTTGTTCCCTAGACATACAGTTAAGCAAGAAAGTGTAATGTTATATGAAAGCAACATTAAGCTCTGGTTTAAGCTTGTTTTCAACTCCCCTCTTACTCCCTGCAAAACCTGCTTCCCAATGTTTGCTCTCAATTGAGTATTACCGTGTGCAAAATTCATAACTACTTGACTCTAAGGTGAGATTTACAGCCTTGCTGCTCAGTTTCTTCAACATTTGGAACATACCATACATACAAGGCCTACTCACACAAGTACCTCACATCTCCATACATCCCCCATCTGCATGAACGTGATTATGTACACTTGGTGTATCTTTTCTGAATATCTAAGTTTCCAAATGAAGTTGATGCACATACACAGAATGTCAAGAGAACTCGCAACAAACAAAAAAACCCAAAAAACAAACAAAACCAAAACCAGTTTGGTTAACACTGTTCATAGTATGCCACACTGCATCAAACATTTCACTTCGTATTCCCAGGCAAAGCAAATACCATTTAGACTCTGGGTGAGAACTTGAAGTATGAAAGGCTGAAGAATCTCAGCTAATCATTCTGTATGTATTCCATGTAACTATTTTTTCCTCAATAATACTACTGAGAAAACAGAAATCACAGTCTAATCGAGCTAAAGTTGTTCCTTAAAAATTATTATGTAATACATTTTTCTGCAGTAATGAAACTCCAAAACTTCAGAACTTTCATTTCACTCAGGATAGATAAGAAGTAAGAAAAATATTTTAAGGAGAAAGGCAATTTAATTTAAAATAAAAGCGAAGACATTATTTTAACTAACTCTCAATTTATCTTTCAAATACTTTCCCTACAGATTTCTATTTCAGAATCAAGTTTGGAAAGTTATATATCAGAGAGAGAAAATAAACACCTCTACTATTTGAGAAAGATTGCTCAAACTGATCGGTTTTAAATCAGAAAACAAGAATTATGATCCCAGAGATTTAGAATGCAAGAGGAAAGAGATGGCTTAGGAAAAATATATGCACTCTTTACAAAGAAGTATCTTTAATGTTTAGACACTTAAGAGGTAAATCAGCCATGAATGTATGAAAAATAAACTGATCTATGTTTAAATAACAGTTTCCAAACTTTGAGTAGTGAAGTTAAGTTTGCAGATTTATGCATGGAGCGGAAAAGCATTACACTTTCCTGTTACTGCACACTACCGTGTAGTAAATCAGAGCAATCTGCATTACAAACATTACAGGTAGTGGGGGAAATGCTGCTTTCCAGCAATCTCTTTTTTCAACAGTATAAACACCTTTGAAAACAGAGGTTGCTGATTTTTATAATGTTTATATTAAATCTTAATCTAAGTATTTATCACATTAAAAAAAAAAAATCCATATATAGCCCAAACAGAATATTCCTAACTTTTCAGTTAATTTGTTCCCTCCCCTTCTTACCTTCTCTGGAGGTGCAGGAGGGTGAAATCTGTTTGCACAAACCAGAAATGCATCAGGCTGTGGCTTGCCACACTTCACCTTGGGGTCATCTCCCAATACAATATGATGAAAAAGACCAAAGAAGTCTTTGTGTCTGGCTGTTTTCATCTGAAATGTCACTTCAGCTGAGCTGGTGGCAACAGCTATGGGTATGTTGTGTTTGTGTAAATGACGGATCAGCTTATCAACCCCTGCAAGACAAATACATACATTTTATTTTTTATATATGCATATATGTAGGTATATGTATTAATATTTATACCTACTTACAATATATTTAGCAGTATTTCAACAATGTTGTTCTACTGACTATAACAACCTATTTCAATCAGTTAGTGTAGAAGAAAATTCTTGCTCTATCTGAAACGTTCCTTCTCCACACAAAAATCATGGAACACTCTTCAAGGTAGATACTTGTTCTGTCATCAAATGATGCTTGTCTCAAAACATGCCAAAAATGGGTTCACCATCATAGAATCACAGAATCATAGAATCGTTGAGGTTGGAAAAGACCTCTAAGGTCATCAAGTCCAACCATCCACCCAACAACACCATGCCCACTAAACCATGTCCCTAAGCGCCTCATTTACACGTCTTTTAAATACCTCCAGGGATGGGGACTCAACCACTTCCCTGGGCAGCCTCTTCCAATGTTTCACCACTCTTTCAGTAAAGAC